AGCGCGAATTTGCCTAAACAAGAACAAAATGCATATAAACGGAGCACGGAGTTGAAACCTTAATCTCCATAAACAGAATTTATAACTTTATTCTTAAGCGCTCGAATTTTCAGCCAGTTTCCAGTATGGTTTCAGAGGCTTAACTAGGCATAAGAAATTGGTTCTCAGCATTGTCTCAAGTCGGAACCGCACACAAAATTCACCTGTGGAATGAAGTCCAAACCGATCCAGTAAATGCAGCTTTCAAGCCAACTTCCAACTTTAAAGTATTAAAGTGTGTTAGTTACTGAAAGTTCGCACAGTTTGGCATTTATTTATGCACAAATTAAAGCTGGAAAGTCAGTTTTGCATCAAGTTTGTGCGACAAAGTCTACTCTATCAACGGTAAACGTTTCGATTTTGAATCTTCATCAGCAAAACTTTGGGAATTTTGTCGAATTTTATTGGCCAGAGTTCAACAGTTATTTTTTCAGAAACCTGTCAAACCAGCAAATTAATTTTTGATGTGCATTTTTGGGCACCGTCTGTTTTATACGTTGTACAAGTTTCGATTTTGAGTCATCTTCAAGCTATTTTCCACGATTTTTTTAAATTCGCTTTGGTGGTTGTCTATGCAGATCTGAGAATGGTATTTAATTTCTCTGAAGCCACTGAAGCTGGAGATTCACTTTTGGGTGTGTAATATGGCGGAAAGTGCGACTTACAAGTGGAAAACGTTTCGAGGTTCGATCATCATCAGGAATTTTGGGGGAATTTTTCAAATTTCAGGTGTAGCTTGCGTTTGTTTGGGCGGAGTTTGAAAGTTTTTTTGACGAACAGTAACTTTTCTATGTATTTTGCGGCAAAGGTCTGCTCTAAAAATGGAAAAAAGTTTCGATTTCGAGTCTTCAACTGGCTATATTCCAGGATTATTTAAACTTCACCACATAATTTCGCGATTCTCTATGCCTGAAATTGGCATTTATTTTTCATTTATTACTCTTGCGTGTATTCGGTAGAGCACAATGCCTTCTATAAGTGAAAAACGTTCCGACTCTGAATCATCTTCAGGAAAATTTGGGGAATTTTTGCAAATTTTGTTTGTATTTTGCACAGTTTGCAAGCCGCAGTTTGGCAGTTATTTTGGCGGAAACCCGGTAAACTAGGGAGCGACTTTTGTATGTATGTATATTGTTCAAGATAGTCTGTTTTATAAATAGGAAAAGTTTAGATTTCCAGTCATTAACAGGCTACTTTCCAGGGTTTTTCAAATTTTGCCAATTTTTCAAATTGAGGTTCTCATCTCTCGGATTTTCTCAGAAACTAGTCAAGTGATAGTCAAGTTTCCTTGTATTGTGTAGCACAAACTGTATTCTATGTGGGAAAAGTTTCAATTTGAAAGCGTAATCAGGAAAATTTCGGCAATATTTTCGCATAAACTAACCAACTCTGATACACATTTTTGGGTGCATTTTGAAAATAAAAGTGCGTTCTATCTGTTTAGATTTTGACTCATCTTCAGGGAGTTTTCATGATTTTTTGGTGTTTTGCCGCCTGTTTATGCAAAAGTTTAGCATTGACTTTTGCCCAAAATGCTTGTGGTTTAGTGCGTTTGGACCTAATTTACAATCGGATTCAAATATTTCTTATATGGGGTTTTTAGGCCTTTCAAAAACTGTTTAACTATTTAAAATTTCCGATAAATCCTGAAAGGCGCAATCAAATGCATACTTAGACCACATCGAGTTTCTGACCCAAATGGCAGACGAATTTCGAGGTCCATGATAGCGACCAAAATTTTCCCCTGCATTTTCCGGCCGACTTGAAGGGTTATTCGACATAATTAAACCGGCCTTAAAAAGCTCTCCAGCCTAATCAAATTATTTCCTTTCTTTTGAATTTCCTCGAGTTTCGCGAAAATAATTAACGGAACGGCCGAACGCCCCCCGTTTGGAAATAAGTTATTGAATCATTTGCGTCGGGAATTTATTCCTGCGGAATCTTTCGCAGGATGCGCCACCGCGGTTTTGATGCTTGGCACACAACTTGAGTCTGCAGATTCTTATGGGGATCAAACGGAAACATTCCAAAATCGATCTCGTTGTTTGAAAATTAATTTCTTTGTGGTGGTTTTTTCATTTTTTTAGCGGTATTAATAAACTTCTTAGAGCAGAAATTCTGGTTTTGCTTCGAGCAAACTTGAAGCTTGCGGCAAACCCACAACAAACCAACCAACAACAATAAGACATGTGTTATGCATTGATTTGAGCTTAAGAGAAGTTTGAGGAGAAAATGAATGAAATTATGGTATGAAAAACAGGTAATTACCTACTTTTGTATAGACTATGAACCAATGTTGCAAGTGCATCTTTTTAATCTGAGAGTAGAATACAAAAAGCGCACAATTGACAAATTTTGAAGAAAAATCGCTTCAAATTCGAGGGAAAATTTCGCAATTAATCCGAGTTTAGTTTCCCCTGGCACCGGCAAAGAGCGCTATTGGTAGAACACGAAAATCGCAAAAATCAAAAGATCGGAAAACATTGGAATGTTTCAAAAAAAATTCGCAATTTTGAAGCTTTGGTGTTCTACAATTAGAGCAATTTAGAAGTTTAGCAAAGGGAAACTGGAATCCAATTAATAGCGAAATTTGAGCAGTGTTTAACTTAAGCAGCGTTTGAACAGATCAATTTTCAGGAAATTTCGAGGAAATTTTACCGATTTTTTGATCATACGTCGCCTCTAGAGGAACGTGCAGACTCAAATGTCTTCTCTGGACTGTAAAAATTTCAAGTTGCCACTTGCTTTCGGTTGGAAGTTATGAATTTTTAAAGAGAACCTGTATTTGGGCGAAAACGCTCATTTTCTGCAAACAATTTTGCAAGTTCGTAAAAATCAGAAAGTTGGGCGATTTTAATGAAATTTTCAGAACATGCAAACTCAAATGTCTTCTCTGGACTGGATAAATTTCAAGTTCTCACTTGCTTTTGGTTCGAAGTTATGAATTTTTCAAGAGAACGCACCTTTAGACGAAAACACCCGTTTTCTGCAAATTTTTTTTGCGAGTTCGTAAAAATCAGAAGGTTGAGGAATGTCAGTTAAATTTTCAGAACGTGCAGACTCAAATGTCTTCTCTGGACAGTAAAAATGTCAAGTTGCCACTTGTTTTCGGTTCGAAGTTATGAATTTTTAAAGAGAACCCGCATTTGGGCGAAAACGCTGCCGCTTTCCCGACAACTTTCAGACGGATACAGGCGAAGAGTTTTCCAACTACTAATAGAGTGATTGAGCAAATCGATTGATTGGCAGCTGAGCAGGGGTTTTTCAAAAGGTCCCCACAGGCCATTTACGGGGTTTTGAGTGATGAGGTGTACAGAGTCCTCGGGTTTGTGCGAGCAGCCAAAAATAGTAAATTTATTTACTATTTAAAAATTCATAACTTCGAACCTAAAACAAGTGGCAACTTGAAATGTTTACAGTCCAGAGAAGACATTTGAGTCTGCACGTTCTGACAATTTCATTGAAGTCCGTCAACCTTCTGATTTTTACGAACTTGCAAAAAATTGTTCAGAAAATGAGCGACCTCGTCCAAAGGCGCGTTCTCTTGAAAAATTCATAACTTTGAACCAAAAGCAGGTTGCAACTTGAAATTTATCCAGTCCAGAGAAGACATTTGGGTCTGCACGTGCTAAAAATTTCATTAAAATCCCCCGACTCTCTGATGTTTACAAACTTGCAAAATATTGTGCAGAAAATCAGCGTTTTCGCCCAAATACGCGTTCTTTTTAAAAATTCATAACTTCGAACCGAAAGCAAGTGGCAAGTTGAAATTTTTACAGTCCAGAGACGAGATTTGAGTCTACACGCTCTAAAAATTTAATTGAAAGCTCCCAACTATCTGATTTTTACGAGCTTGCAAAAAATTGTGCAGAAAATCAGCGTTTTCGCCCAAATGCGCGTTCTCTTGAAAAATTCATAACTTCGAATCGAAAGCAAATGGCAGCTTGAAATTTATACAGTCCAAAGACGACATTTGAGTCTGCACGTTGGAAAATTTTCATTGAAATCCCCCAACTCTCTGATTTTTAAAAGCTTGCAAAAATTGTTCAGAAAATGAGCGACCTCGTCCAAAGGCGCGTTCTCTTGAAAAATTCATAACTTCGAACCGAAAGCAAATGGCTACTTGAAATTTTTACAGTACAGAGACGACATTTGAGTCTGCACGTTCTGAAAATTTCATTGAAATCCCCCAACTCTCTGATTTTTACAAGCTTGCAAAAATTGTGCTTGCAAAAACCATCGTTTTCGCCCAAATGCGCGTTCTCTTGAAAAATTCATAACTACGAACCGAAAGCAAATGGCAGCTTGAAATTTACACAGTCCAGAGAAGACATTTAAATCTGCACGTTCTGAAAATTTCATTAAAATCGCCCAAGTTTCTGATTTTTACGAACTTGTACAGAAAATGCGCGTTCTCTTCCAAAGGCGCGTTCTCTTTAAAAATTCATAACGTCGAACCGAAAACAAGTGGTAACTTGAAATTTGTACAGTCCAGAGAAGACATTTGAGTCTGCACGTTCTGAAAATTTCATTGAAATCCCCCAACATTGTGATTTTTGCGAACTTGCAAAAAATTGTGCAGAAAGTGAGCGTTTTCGCCCAAATGCGGGTTCTCTTTAAAAATGCATAACTTCGAACCGAAAACAACCAACAACGTGAAATTTTTACAGTCCAAAGAAGACATTTGAGTCTCCACGTTCTGAAATTTTCATTAAAATCCCTCAACCTTCTGATTTTTACAAACTTTCAAAAGCCCCTGCTTAGCTGCCAATCAATCGATTCGCCCAATCACTCTATTAGTAGTTGGGAAACTCTTCGCCGCAGCTCAATGGCACCGCGGCCAGGTGAGCGCTAACTGCAAACTTGTTGCTGAGCCGAAGCCATTCACTTGCACAAGCAGGGGAGTTGAAGAGTCAAGATCGAGGCGAAGGTTGCCGTCCGCAGCGTTTCCCATTACTTACCGAGTTCGAGCCCGTGGTTTATCCGAAGAAGCCCAACTCGGATGGACGATGCAAGTGAAATCGCACAAGTCACTCACCAATCGCGCACGAGTACCTCGTCCAGTGGTACTCAGCTTCGCGAAATTGCACATCAGCAGCGTTGAAACCGGCGCAACCAGCTGCTGTCGGCGCTTTCCCGTAGCTCTCAGCTTCAGCTGCTAGTTGCAAAGCAGCCAGTTGCTAGACGCAGCCCGTTCGGCAGCCGAAAGTCCACTGCGGCCGGAGCGGCGCGCGCTTCTTGTCGTCCAGGAACTCGCCAGGGAGTAGATGAGGGGGCTGCGGCGGAAAAGAGAACGACGGAAAAAAAAGACTCTGGATTAAACAAGCTCACTTTTTTCCACCCAAAATGGCCTGCGTATAAATAATGAATATTAATCGGCCCGAGTTGTTTTATTGACACTTGCCGGCCAGGATGGGGGGCTTTATTGTGGGGAAATCCGAGGCCGGGAATTTGAAAAGTTTCGGACTTAAATGTGTTCACTTCAAAGGCACACTGCGGACTTAACCGGGCGAAAGTTTACTCGTTTAAACTCGGCGAGAATTTGATTAGGGCCGGAATTTACCTGCAGATGATCAAGTTTTCAGCCTTTCGAATACTTTACTCTAATGGGGTTCGCCCGCGGTAGGACAATGAGGGCTGCGGCAAAAGCGCAATAAAGAGTCGGAAACTTTCCAACATTTCGAGCTGAAGAAAGGTTGCGGTCAGACACCGATAAAAATGAATTTTCAAATACACTCAATTCAAAATTAACTGAAGAATTTGGGCCAAAACGGCTTGAAAAAACCAGAAAGTTGAAAGCCCAGATTTGAAAGATAAGTCAGTGTCCAATATTCCACTAGTGAAAAAGATCAAGAGGATTAATTGAAGCAATTAGTTGAAGATGAAAAAAGTATGAAAATAGAGCAGTACATGGATAGGAGAAATTCCACAATTTTAGAAGTCGATTATGCCTGGA